AGGTTAAATATCTACTCTGATAGTCAGGCGGCAATCAGAGCGCTGGGATCGCCAATGGTACGATCGAAACTGGTCGGAAGCTGATTTGGATCCCAGGGCAGAGTAACATCACTGGAAAAATTGTAGGGCTTATGAATTGGCTAGGCAGCGTACCCTCGAGCCCATCACCTCGGACAGGGAGGGCGTAGGAGTTCCGTTGGCAGCCTGTGGCCCGCTCCTGGGCAGATGGGTTCATGCCCTACATGCAAAGTTGCGAAGTACTTCTGGCCGGTTGTTGACCGCAGGAGGTCAAGTGAGCTTCTACAGCCTTCGATTCTTACAGGCGTACTGACCGGACGTTGTCCTTTAGGGACGCATGCGGTGCGAGTCAATATCCTCACGGATTACTCCTGCCGCGGTGGCCGAAAAAATCTCTCTCTAGTAGAAAAGTGTGCGTGCCAGTCAAAACTGCGATTTTTGCGGATTGGATTTTATTTATATATTTTTGTGCTTTACTCTTTCTATAAAATAATGTGGCGTATTCCTGTTTTCGTACAATTTGAAAATTTTAAGTTTTTATATAGGAAATGATAGAAAAATTTCATGATATTCTATTCGTACGAAAGCAAGAATACTCCTCAATATATGTTCAAATACATCTTTTGATTAGATACTCTACATAGTATAGCGTTTTTAAACTATGTACTACGAGCTTCTCATGACTTCATATTTACAAGTACATATTAGCAATTTTATGTCTATGTATGTATGTACAAAAAACTCCATTAAAAAAAATAATAATAATAATTTACTAATTGGCGATTATGACTAGACATCATCACGTACATATGAGAATATTTATATAGAAGTATTTGTATACGTACTCGTACGTAATTCTCAATTTCTGCGTAAAATCCATTCGTTTTACTGCTGCAGTTTATTTGCGTACATTCATATATGCATTACCCAAGTTTTGCACTTTATTATAGTATTTAGTTTACTTCTCCACTTACTCAACTATAGCAACAAGAAAAGCACGCAAATGTTCGAGGTAACCTTTTGTAGATGCTCTAAGTGCTAATTTTTGTTCGAAAAAAAACGATGTATGAATATGCTAATAAATTTATTACGTTTTGTATCTGGCGAATATCTAGTAAATACACTTACTTATGTTTACAATCCGTACATACCTAAATACATATGTTTATGAACACTTATATGTATGTATTTTTTCAAGAATGTCACATTTCGCTAGTCTCGAAATCAGTACTGATTGTCCACTTAATCTTGCTCAGTCCTTACCTTTTTAGATTTGTAAATATGTATGTACTTATTTAAGTAAAAACCGAAAGTGATTTACTTAACAAATTAGTAGTGCATTAATAATTTGTTCAAAGCTGGTAGTAGCTGGAGACCAATTCGAGTAAGAATTTTAAAGCAAAAAGCGAAGTCTTCGATTTTGTGGCTTGAGAAAGAAAAGCGATTATTTTTTGTTTCTTATTTTTTTTTTTTGTTGAGACAAAAATATATAAAGCGAAGCTCGCATTTCCTTTTGTGAGCGGAATATGGCCGGTAAGGTATACTTTGAACTTTAAAGGCATTCATTAAGAGCACAGTTTTGTTTTAAATGTATTTATTTTTACATCTACAAGTTCCTGAAAAATCGCGGAAAGTCCCAAATAAAACTTTAAAATATTTAAATAATTCTGAGCTCGCTAAATATAAAAAAAAGTTCCATATATTCCAAATCATAGTTGAAACCAGGGACCGTTGCGTTTATGACCTTTATAATAACAAGTAATTTTTAGCAAAAAAAACGACTTAAAAAAAAATATATATATATATATTTCATGATCCAATGATCGGATCTAAACTAGTATGGAAGACCACCTCTGAGACACTACCTCTCCGATGCAAAAAGAATTATCGAAATCAGTTGACGTGGTCCAAAGTTATGCGGTAACATACATAAGCAAAAATAAATAAAATAAAAAATATTCCGACGAACTGATTTTTTTGGAACAAAACGTCTGTGCGTTGTATAAAAACCAGTGTACGAAAATAAACTATATTGTATGTTACTATTTCGTTTTGTTTATTACTTTAACAGTTCGGTACAATACGAAACAAAACGGCTGAGTTCACTTTGGCGATAGTACACTACAGTAGTTTAGTAGTTACAGACGAAACAACAAACGAAATGAATCGTGCAGGGAAAATATTTTTATGTATGTACATATATGCAATAAACAAATACAAAACGAATGGCTGCAATGAATAAAAAAAATAAAAATGTTTTTTAATTGAATTGGATATGAAAATTTACAGAAAAAATTATTTTTCACGTAATTGAAACGTTTGCATACATATAAAACGTACCCTATGGTACAATTGTCACATACGAAAAGCAAACGTTTCTCGTTGGGGAAAATGACAGTGAATCTTACAATTTGTTTCTGACTATTTACAAAACTGGACTGCAGATATGCAATAAGGTTTTACTTGTTTGACAAAGGTTGCCACCTTTTAAAAAATGTATATTCAAATAATCTAAAAAAATCAAATATTGCAAAATGGGTATCAATGGAAATGGTTTTGAAAATCTTTCTTCCTTAACTTAACTTTAGGAGGGTTGCCGCCTGTTTAAGAAATCAAATTAATTTGAATTAAGGAAATTAATTAGAAAAAAATGTTTCAACATATGGATGCCAAACGAAAGGGGCTGAGAAGGTGACAGTTTGAAAATATTTTGAACTCATTCAAAAGTTATATGAAATGTCAAAATATGAAAGTCAAACGAAAGAGTGTTAAGGAGTCCTTTAAACATTAAGAATATTTTTGAGATGTTGGAAGAGGGTTGCCATTTGTATAAAAATTCATTTCAAATTATTAAATAAGTTGAATTAATTATTGTAAGTTGGGTATCAATCGAGGGGGGTTTAAAAAATCTTTATTTCTGAACTATATTTAGTAGTGTTGCCACATGTTTAAAAAATAAAATAAAACTTAATTCATCAGTTAATTAAACTATGTATTGCAATGTTAGGGGAAGAATATTTAAGAATATCTAAGCGCGAAACTGCTTTTGAAGAGGGGTGCCATCTGTTTAAGTGGCGAATTTGATCAACTTTTGCGGAAGTTATTTGAAATATGAAGGTGTTAAAAAAAACTTGAGTTTGAACATTTAGAATATTTGAAGGGAGTTGCCACGTGTTTATAAAGTGGCATTCAAATTATTTAAGAAATTGGATGAATTATTAAAAGAAGGGTATCATCGAAATGATTTTGAAAAGGTTTTATTTCTGGAATATATTTAGGAGGGTTGCCACCTGTTCAAAAATCCCACTCAACTTAAATTAGGGAAATTACCCAATTCAAGTATGTATTAAAATTTGGGTGTATATATTGACGTCAAACGAAAGAGTGTTATGAAATCTCTAGTTTGAACACTATGAATATTTTTTGGGTGTTTGAAGAGTGTTTCCACCTGTTTAAATATTCAAATTATTTCAAAAGTCAAATGAATTATTAAAATATGGGTGTCAATCGTAATGAAGTATGAAAGGCTTTATACCTGAAATATATTTAGTAGGGTTGCCACGTATTTTATAACCTGCATTCAAATTATTTAATAAGTTAAGCGAATTTTTAAAGGATGGATATCAATCGAAATTGGTTTTAAAAAGGCTTTCAGGTAGGTTTTGCAATCCACTTCCGAGTGAATTTAAACCAAATTCGTTTCGAACTCAAATTGAACTTTGTAGAAGTTTACTCGAAAATAAATTGTATAACCTGAAAAGAAGACCTTGCCCTGTAGATGTGCGATAAAGTTTAATTTTTTGAAATTAAAAATTTGTTATTGCTACAGGGTGATTTAAAATTTGATAATATTAAAAACCTGCTATGCGAAACGGCTGCACGGATAGAAGAAATATAAAACTCGAATCGCTTATACTTTACTAATATTTGGAATAGTTCGTAGGTTTTTAAAAAATTCTATCTTGGGCGTTTTAATGCCGTGCGGGTTTATTAGTATATTCTTAAGCTTCAAAATTTATTTGTGTATGACAGGCTGGGATTCAGCTTATATTTGTTAACTTTTTCTATGTATACATAAATTTTTTTTTTCAAGGAAAAGAACATTTTTCTCTAGTTATAAATTTTTGTTGGAGTTGTGACGTGATTAATTTTTCTGTCATGCAAAAATTTTGCTGCTTCGATTTGCTGGCAAGTAACTTTTGCTTTCATCTCCCACTGGCAATTATTATTTTACACATCTGACCCACATACGCAAAAGTGCACATCATCTAATTTACATAAGTTAATCAAGTACATACATACATACATACAAATGTATAACTCGTTAACGAACAACACCTTTCAGCATATTTCTTTCAAAAAACTTATATGTATGCGTGCTTCCGAAATTGGGTTATCAATTTGTACTGGTCAATTAATTATGTTATCAAAGATTTTTAATGACTTAAACAATGATTTGAAATTATCCAATGTAAAAAATTTTATCAGGCAATATTTTTATGTATTGCAAGCCGCACATAAACCGAAAAAATTGCCTAGGGCCGCTTATAACCAAAATTTCGAATACCTGAATGACGAATACAAATTTGCTGAATAATTTGTCGATATGTACACAAGTACGCTTGATTCCATAGATTACGCATCATTTTTTTACTTTTCAACACATTTGACGAAAAGGGAGTAGATACTTTTTTTGTTAATAAATTTAATCCAAATAGGAAAAAAAAAGACAATACCAACTATGCTTTGGTTTCGCTTAATTTCGCGCTTACAGTTTTACTAGGTATGTACTCCCCCCCTATGTACAAATAAATATGTATGTATGTACTGTTAGCGAATATTTGCCTTTGCGGTTAGTGCCATTTATTCACACATGCGCACATGCTTACACACACTTAAGTTTTTTTGTTGTTTGTTTGTTTGTAATAGTCGTATCTCTTATCTATCGCGCCCATCTTTCCCTCGTCTCGCCCGCAACCCGACACACGCGCTCGCCTCTCACAGGCAATCACCGGCCGACCCTCACGCACGCAAGTCACCCATACCTTTGTAAGTACGTACGCATTGCCGGTAATTGGAGTCCGCTTCACTTTTTTCGCTATTTTTTTTTTCTCGCATTATTCACCGCGGTTCTTCACTTTGCTTCGCACTCGATATTTTGCGATTCTTCAAGAAAATTTTCGTGTATAAAAAGGCACTGACGTTAAGTACCTGTCAGCCAGTTGTTAAATAGCATTTTCGACAATCAAGCGTATTACAAAATCGCAAAAGCCACACATGTGAAAGGATAATATTCGTACAGAGGAAGTGTGAAAGTTCATTAATCAAAGTTATAACAATTAAAAGATCTATTCTTGTGAATTATATCTTTTTGAATAGTGCTTTTGGTTGTGAAAAAATATATAGAAATTCAAAATATTTTTTGCAAAATGTACAAGTTTGGTATCGTTTTATTATCGGCGGTTCTCTTCGCTTTTGTCTTGGCTCGTCCTGCTGAGGAAAAATCGGCTGCGTCTCCTGCCATTACGACAACAACAACACCTGCAACAATAATCAGTCAAATCGATTTTGCCAATCCAGATGGCAGCTATAATAGCAGGTGTGTATGATTAAGTGAAAATGTTTTATTTTCTTCTGACTTAAAAAGGAACAAGAAATATTTAAAAATGTTTGACCACCTTTTAAGACATCAAAGTTGCTTGCCGGCAGTCATGGGCGAGTGGTAAGGGTAGCATAAAAAAAAACAAGGGTTTTCTTATAACTATAAATAGCCCCTCGGTAGGCAATGGCAAAACTAGGTGTACTTCTTGCCGTTCGGAGGCAGCCTAAAATGTAGATCCCTCCACTTTGTGTGACAACTTCAAGGCGCACACCACAAATCGGAGGAGAAGCTCGGCCAAGCAATATCAAATGTTTAAGCGCCAAGTTTAAATTTTATTTTTTAAATGCTTTAGTGGGGAAAAAAACACTTTGACTCACAATAAATAGAAAGCCGTTTAGATCACTAGAATTGAGCAGTTGCGGCTTACTTTATTCTAAATATTAAATGTATTTTAAAAACAAAGTAGCAAGTATTCGCGGAATCATCAGCCGACCTGAACATGAATCAATAATTTTAATTTTGGAAAAATTCAGTATGAAAATATTTTAGGATAAGGCTGGAGTTGGTGAAAAATTCACTTGAGCACGGAAGAAATGGTTTAATGGAAATTTAGTTCACATTAAAGAAATCAGTTTCAGATTTTTTAGAAATATTTATTAAAATAAGAACCACATTTCTAAAACAAAAGGGTAATGCCAAAATGAGGTTAACCAGGTGAATAATCTTTAGAAATTAGAAAATTTTAGTTAAGTTCAAAAATGCCATTTTAGCACTTTGTGCCAAATTAAAAAATTAAGTGCCATTTGAGGTAAAATAGGACCAAAAATAGCACTATTTGAGCCAAGTTGGCAGGCCTGCTAGTATGCCACACAGTGGTGAAATAATCTTTGTTTCAAAAAAGCTGCTTGTCCTTCAGGTCTTTACCGATTTCAATGTCATTTCATTTTTCTTTTTATTAACATTAGTACGATAAGATATAATAAGAAATATGATTTTATTATTTTTTTGTTGATTCTTGAGGTGTGGCTCCTTTTTTGGATAGTAGCGAAAAAATCTAATAAAATTAAACCTTGTCAAAGGTTAACTTAAACAAATGATGGATCTAAAACCGTAGGCCTTCACTTTACATATCACTAATTAATGTAAAAGTTACATGTATACCTAAGTAGATTACTGCTACACCACTCGTACAAAAAAAAACAACTTATTGATCGATAGAGTACTGCATTTATATATAACAAAAGCTTTTAATTTTAATGAAATTTGGAATATTTTTTACGCATGCTCAAAAAACGCGCAGCACCTCTTAAAAGTGAAATTAATAAAAAATATTGAAAAAATTATTTTTTTCCGACTGTATGCCTCAGCGCCAATCAGCTAATTTAAGCACAGCGTATTTTTTTTAAGAGCTACTAGTTAATGTGATTTATTATAGCTGGCATTTACACCCTTCGTTTCATTTTTCTTGCTGAATAGTATCATCTACTAAATTTCAGATATGCTGACATAGATTTATCAATTTCAACGCATAAATTAAAAAAAAAATACATTTTATTAATTACAATGACACCTGATTTTAAATAAATTACATTTCAATATTGATAAATATGTATGTCAGCGATTTACAGAACATATTAATTACTCGTATTGTTAACGGATCAATTGAACATGCATATAATATTATAAATATACGAATTGTATTTCTTAGTAACTTAGTACCATTTATAGATGTGACTCATACATCCAGCTAAGGTCTTAAAATTTGATAAGTAAATAACGTAACATTAAATGTACTAGCCTTACCTTCTGTTTAGTAATGAATTTTTTTTGAGCAGATAAATCCAAATGAAGAAATGTGTTAATAGATCTTGACATTACTTTATTATTTTTGGGTCATTCCATGTAAAAGAGGAAAACGATATAAATTTAAATTTTTTATGAAAAAAATTACTTCATTTTATTATTTTGTTAAAAAATATTAAAAAACAATTAAAAGAAATTGTATTTTTTGTCTATGGAAACTTTTATTCCATGCATAATTAGCAGATGTCCCACCAGTCACAACGGTAAATATTTTTTAATATTTCCATGAGGATTATATAAACCAAATTTTTATTAAAAACTAAAGCGTATAATTCGTTTTTTTTACAACACAAAAACATCGTTTGTGAAGATTAAGCGTTTTGGCTAAAATTCATCTTTGCGTGCACAAGGGTAAAATGGAGTTATTTTCAATGTTCCACCAGTCACATTCGTTCAAATGATGCTTACATAAAACTAAGAAATCATTTGATATTTTTGTTAAAGCAATTTTATACATTAGCTATCGTTTTATGTTAAAAAAAATATCCTTCGCTGTTGTATAAGTTCCGACGACATAGTTATAATTCACAACTGATCACATTCTGGATTAAAATGTCCCACCAGTCACAATGGAATAACCCTTTTGTTCTTTCTATTAACTATACAATATCAAGCTAGAATACTAAACAATAGTCTAACGTTCTCCCTGTTGAAGGGGAAGGCAAATACTTCATGAGTTTGACGTCAAACGCTCGGCACATAATCCTGCACATTTTTCAACCTTGTTCTTCGGTTCACACCTTCTGCGCCTTTCGGCTAATCAGCACTTCCTCTATCAGCATGGCTTCCCAAAGCGCACCTTCTTCGGCAAGCCTGTCCGCCTACTAGTCGCCTGCGACACCATTGTGCCCCGAAACCCAAAAGTGAAGTACACCTGTGCCAGTATGTAGCACATCTAAAGCTGCGCTGCATTCCACCACACTTCTCGAAGTCTGTGACTATCGATATAGAGATTCGCCTGTTTATTTCATAGGTTGCTGTTTAATAGCCCCGCTGCCCTTTTTACTGCCGCCCCTATGCCTTCCTCCATCTACGACCCAACTGTAAAGGCCAGGCCTGCCCCGCACGCCAGCTTCCCACCTCTATAGTGGCTTCGAAGCTCGTCTTGAAGGGCTTCAAGAAATGCAACAGGGTATAAAGTTCTGCCGTTGACTACACCAATGTGCTGCTGTCGGGCCATGAACACATACTTAGATAGATTTGTATACATATGCCTAGGTGCATTATATATACAGTTGACTTCTTTTAAACGTTGAAATAGGGGCTTTTTAGTAGTAAAATATTTTTCATTCGATTAAGTACTAAGCAATGCTTAATGAATAATTACGTTAAAGCTTTGTTCATTCGGCTGTACTTGTGGTAGCTTACTCTTGAATTACAATTTTTAAGGCTTTTTTGGGGGAAAAAATACGAATTTTTGAGCTTGATATACTTTCAGATTGTAAAGATATGATTAATTTTAAAAATTATTTAAAAAACTCAGTTAAATGAAAAAGAACAATATGGGTCTCATATAAAAGAGAAAATTCTGTAGAATTAAAAAAAAATTAATATTTTAATGCATACGGATGAATAGATTCTGCAAAATTCCTTTAAAAATGTTATCTTTGAATATCCTTAATTTTTTTTTTCATGTTAAGGACTAATATGCAATCGAACACAACCTCGAATTTTGCCCTTCTAACTTTATTAGCTTAAAAAACTAAAATTGATTATAAGCGAAATTTTAATACACATTCGTTCTTGTGAACCGCAAGACTTACATTTTTTAAATTCTACAGAATTTTCTTCTTCATGGGGTACTCATTAACCCACTTCCAAAAACGGAGGAGGTTATCAGTTCGTCGGAATATTTTTTTTTTTTTTTTTTTTTTTGTATGTTACCGCATAACTTTGGACC